GTGCTGGAAGGCAGGAGGGCTCTGCAGAGGGCCCTGGCCAGGCTGGATCCATGGGCTGGTTGCAAGGGGCTGAGGTTCCCCAAGGCCAAGGGCCGGGTCCTGCCCTTGGGCCACAAGAAGCCCCTGCAGTTTGGGTTGGAAGGACCTTGGAGATCCGTCTCATTCCACCTTGGACCTTCTCATCCACCTGTGAGATCCATCCCCTTCTAATCCCTGCCTGCACAGGGACACCTCCCACTATCCCAGCTTGCTCCAGCCTGGCCTTGGACACTTCCAGGGCTCATCTTAGGGAGAAAAAGGGCTGGAATGTTGCTGGATGTGGATCCCAGATTGTTCCAGCCTGGCCTTGGACACTTCCAGGACTCATTTAAGTGAGGAAAAAGGCTGGAATGTTGCTGGATGTGGATCCCACGTTGCTCCAACCTGACCTTGGACACTTCCAGGGATCATTTTAGTGAGGAAAAGGGCTGGAATATTGTTGGATGTGGATCCCAAGTTGTTGCAGCCTGGCCTTGGACAATTCCAGGGCTGATTTTAGTGAGGAAAAGGTCTGGAATTTTGATGGATGTGGATCCCAGATTGTTCCAGCCTGACCTTGGACACTTCCAGGGCTCATTTTAGTGAGGCAAAGGGCTGGAATGTTGCTGGATGTGGATCCTACATTGCTCCAACCTGACCTTGGACACTTCCAGGGATCATCTCAGTGAGGAAAAGGGTTGGAATATTGTTGGATGTGGATCCCAAGTTGCTCCAGCCTGGCCTTGGACAATTCCAGGGCTCATCTTAGTTATGAAAAGGGCTGGAATGTTGCTGGATGTGGATCCCAGGTTGCTCCAGCCTGGCCTTGGACAATTCCAAGGATCACCTTAGCAAGGAAAATGGCTGGAATGTTGCTGGATGTGGATCCTACATTGCTCCAGCCTGGCCTTGGACACTTCCAGGGCTCATTTTAGTGAGGAAAAGGCTGGAATGTTGTTGCCTCTGGAGTCCTGGTGCTCCATAAATCCCTGGGTGTAACTCCCACGGTGCTCCCAGAAAACCAGGGAAACTCCCCCCTCTCCCAAGGGACAGCCAGGCTCGGAATTCCTCCCGGAATCCCTGGCCTTGGAGGGTTTTCCAGAGGTTTTTCCCATCCTTTCCCCCCAGGTACAGACACGAGATGGCCCACGACGGGCAGAGGATTTACATCCTGGGAGGGGGAACCTCCTGGACAGCCTATTCCTTGGACAAGGTGAGGCAATTCCAGCTGGGAATTCCCTGGC